AAAGTTCTAGGATTATGAGAGTGAGCCACCGCTCCCAGCCTGTTTTTTTTTTTTCCCTTAGGAAAGGAATAATGTCAACCTAATTTACAGAGTCCCTGTGATCCCATACTTACTCTCTTTTGGAACACTATAAGAATATATATACAAATCTTTGATGTCTACTGTGTGGTAACCTTGTGCAGGCAAACCTGCACAGTCTTCTGCTCTGGTCGTATGTGGAGATGCTCTTGCTGGGACATGTTTGTGTAGCCTTCACAGCTATTGGCTGAAGAGCCCCTGCTCCCCAGTTACATAGGAGTCTGTGTAGTAGGGAATCTTAGTTCTGTAATAATTAGTATCACAAATGGGGAATTCTCTTCTTTTTCTCCTCTTTCTCTGTCTCCTACTTTAATTCTGTCCCCCAGGCTGGAGTTGTCTATTTTCTGGGGGATGTTAGCAGATTTTGATGCTCTATGGCTATCTATTAATTCATTAGGGCTTTCAAAAGTATGAGATTCTAGTTTATAAAATGTACTAGCTGCAGTACTTACATAAAGGTAATTTCTCCCTTATCTTCTATCTGGTTGTCTAATGCTACAATTCATATAGAAAGAGCAGGGAAAATATTTGAGTCTTTTGTCAGTTTTCAAAATAAGTTGGTTCCCTGGTATTAAACAACACTTAAAAAAAAGTATCATTGTGAACTGAGAGATATATATCCAATATATTGAATATATATACTGAATATACTGAATGCATCAAATATATTTCAATTTATTACAGTTATTTTTCTTATTGATTTTTATATTCATCTTCTTTGGCCAGTAGGAGCCTTTTCAAATTGGCTCTGTATCTTTTTGACATTACTCTAGTAATATTTGACAGCTTCCTTGCTATGTGGTAAAAGATGTTCCAAGAATAGATGTTATTTATTTCTTGCCCTAGACCTGGAATTAACATTTTTCTCCCCATGGAATGCTAGTTACTTATTGTAGATTAACATGCAATTTTAAGAATTAATGCAGAGAGCCTTGGTGTACCCTTTATCCAGTTTCCCCCAATGGTAACCTCTTACAAAATTGAAGTAAAATGTCACAACCAGGATATTGAAATCAATCCAATTAGAATGAAGATGAGTTCTATCACCAAATGAATCCTTCAGGTTTCCCTTTTATAGCAACATTTACCTTTCACCCCCTCTCTCCGCTCGTTACTGACTTTTAGCAACAACTAATCTGTTCCTTATTTTCATAATTTTTTCATTTTGAGAATGTTATAATAGAATCACACAGTTTATAACTTTGGGGTTGGATTTTATCCAATCAGTGTAATTTCCAGGAAATTCATCCAAGTTGTTACATTTATGAATAGTTTTATGTATGTATGTATGTATGTATTTTTGAGACAGAGTCTTGCTCTGTCACCCAGGCTGGAGTGCAGTGGTATGATCTCTGCTCACTGCAACCTCTGCCTCCTGGGCTCAAGTGACTCTCCTGCCTCAGCTTCCCAAGGAGGTGGGACTACGGGTGCACATCACCATGCCTGGCTAATTTTTGTAATTTTAGTAGAGATGGGGTTTCACCATGTTGGCCAGGCTGGTCTTGAACTCCTGACCTCAAGTGATCTGTCCCCTTTTGCCTCCCAGTGTGCTGGGATTATAGCGTGAGCCACTGCGCCTGGCCAATAATTTGTTCTTTTTAAATTGCTGAGTAGTAGTCCATAATATGGATGCAGTATAGTTTGTTTAACCATGCACCTGTTGAAGGACAAATGGGTTGTTTTCAGTTTTTGACTATTATGAATAAAACTGCTATGAACATTTGTGTACAGATTTTTGTGTGTACATAATTTTTCATTTTTCTGTCATAAATGTCCAAGTGTGCAATTGCTGGATCATATGGTCGTTGCTTGTTTAGCTTTACTAGAAAGTGATTGCACCATATCAGAGTCCCATCAGCAGTGTAGGAGTCTCAGCTTTAGACATTCTAATAGATGTGTAGTGATATCTTATCAAGGTTTTAATTGAATTTTTCTAATGACTAATGATGTTGAACATCTTTTTGTGTGCTTAAAAAATTTCATTTATTTATTTTTTGAGACAGAGTCTCACTCTGTCACCTGGACTGGAGTGCAGTGGTGCCATCTTGGCTCACTGCAACCTCTGCCTCCTGGGTTCAAGTAATTCTCCTGCTTCAGCTGCTGGAATAGCTGGGATTACAGGCATGTGCCACCAGGCCCAGCTTTTTGTGTTTTTAGTAGAGACAGTGTGATGGGGTTTCACTGTGTTGGCCAGGCTGGTCTCGAACTCCTGACCTCAAGTAATCTGCCCACCCTGGCATCCCAAAGTGCTGGGATTATAGGTGTGAGCCACTGTTCTTGGCCTTATGTGCTTCCCACCCCCTTCTTCTCTCTCTTTTTCTTTTTTCCATAAGCAGGTCCTCTTTGGTAAAGTGTATTTCCAAATATTTTGCCAGTTTTATTATTGGGTTGTTTGTTTTCTATTATTGAGTTTTAAGAGTTCATTACATATATTCATAAAAGTTCTTTACCAAATACATGCTTTGAAAATATTTTCTTCCAGTCATTATGTTTTTATTCTTTCTAATCAGTGTCTTTCATAGAGAAAATTTTTTTTCACCACTAAGAGTCGTACGAGAGAAGATGTTTTTATTATTGAAATGCAACTTATTGGTTTGTTTTTTATAGATTATGATTTTGGTGTTACATGTAAAAAATATTTGCTTTACCCAAGGTCATGAAGGTTTTCTCCTAAATGTCTTATAGTTTTAGATTTTATGTTTAGGTCTATTATATTAGTCTGTTCTCACATTGCTATAAAAAACTACCTGAGAGTGTGTGATTTATAAAGAAATGAAGTTTAATTGACTCACAGTTCTTCAGGCTCTACAGGAAGCATGGCTGGGGAGGTCTCAGGGAACTCACAATCACAGCGGAAGGCAGAGGGGAGGCAGACATATCTTTACATGGTGCAGCAGGAGAGAGTAAAAGGGGAGCTGCTAGACACTTTTAAACAGCCAGATCTTGTGAGAACTCACTTACTATCATAACAGCAAGGTGGAAGTCCACCTCCATGATCCAATCACCTCCCACCAGGCCCCTCCTCCGACACTGAAGATTACAATCTGAAATGAGATTTGGGTAGGGACACCGAGTCAAACCATATTATCTATGTTGTATTTTGAGTTAATTTTTGTATAGGGTACAGGTATATACAAAAGTTTATTTATTTATTTATTTTTGGGACAGGGTCTCACTTAGTTACCCAGGCTGGAGTGCAGTGGCACAATCTCATCTCACTGCAGCCTCAACCTTCTGGGCACCAGTGATCCTTCTACCTCAGCCTCCAAAGTTGCTGAGACTACATGCCTGGCTAATTTCTGTATTTTGGTTTGTAGAGATAGGGTTTTGCCATGTTGCCCAGGCTGGTCTCAAATTCCTGGGCTCAAGCAATCCACTGGCCTAGGCCTCCCAAAGTGCTGGGATTATAGGCTGCAGCCACTGCCCCTGGCCCAAAGTTTATTTTGTTGCATATGGATATCCAATTATTCCATCACCATTTGTTGAAAAGACTATCCCAGCTCTACTAAATTGTTTTTATATCTTTGTTGAAAAGCAATTGTTCATTTAAATGTATGTCTAGTTATGGACCCTCTGTTCTGTTCCATTGATTTATTTGTCTGTTGTTATACTAACACTACAAGGTCTTGATTAGTCCAATCAGATATTATACTATAGTGTATATTCTTCTTTTTCAAAGTTGTTTTGGCTATTTTAGGCTCTTGGCATTTCTATATGAGTTTTACAATCAGTTTTGTTCATCTATGTAAAAGCCTGCTAGGATTTTGATTGGGATTATATTGAATCTAAAGATCAATGTGGGGAGAATTGGCATCTTAACAATCTTGAGTCTTTGGACCCATAAACAAGTTAGATCTCCCCATTTATTTAGTTCTTCTTTATTTTATCTCTGAAATGTTTTGTAAATTTCCACTGTACAGGTAAAAATTTTGTCAGATTTATCCCCAAATACTTAATTTTTTGAGTGCTATTGTAAATGATATTGTTTTAAAATTCTAACATCCAATCACTCACTGCTAATATAATAAAATAGACTATTATAAATACATCTTGTATTTTAAAACCTTATTAAATTCACTCATTAGTTCTAGTAGTTTTTTTGGCAGTTGCATCAGATTTTCTACGTAGATGATCATTGATATGGTTTGGCCATGTCCCCACTCAAATCTCATCTTGAATTGTAATCCCCATAATTTCCGCATCTCTAGGAAGAGACCTGGTGGGAGGTGATCGGATCATGGCAGTGGTTTCTCCCACGCTATTCTTGTGACAGTGAGTTTTCACAAGATCTGATGGTTTTATAAGGGGCTCTTCTCCCTTCACTCCTCACTCTTCTCTTTCCTGGTGCCATGTGAAGAAGGTTCTTGCTTTCTCTTTGCCTTCCACCATGATTATAAGTTTGAGGCCTCCCCAGCCATGTGGAACTGTGAGTCAATTAATCCTTTTTCTTTCTTTTTTCTTTTTTTTGTTAACAATTATTTTATTAGGAGAAATTGAAGAAACACTGTTTTAACAGTTTAAAGTAATCAGCATCAAATTAAGCTTGCTTAGTCCTGTTCTCAACTAGCAGCTACTCTTCTGACCAGTCCCATGACCAAGTCCCCACATTTGTCACCAGCAGCTTAATATCTGACATAGCCACCTTTGAGTATTTACCTGGAAGCCTCTTTCTTAAATAAATTATCCAGTCTTGAGTGTTTCTTTATAGCAGCATAACAACTGACTAATACAATCATTTTGCCTGCAAATAAGACAATTTTACTTCTTCCTTTCTGATCTGGAAACTTTAAAATTTCTTTTTTTTGACCTATTTTACAGGCTAGAATTTCCAGGCAATGTTGAATAGAAATAGTGAAAGCCGACATTCTTGCCTTGCTCTGGATCTTTGGAGAAAAGTATTCAGTTTTCCAGTACGTATTAAGTGTCATGTTAGCTGCAGGGTTTTTTTTTTTGTAGATGCAGTTGCCTGTGCTGCTAGAGCCTGGGTCCTGGGGAAGCTGCCTATGCTGCAGTGACCTGCTCAGCAAGCACACCTGATCCAGGAAACAAAACACTTTCTTCCTGCAGTGTCTCGTCTATGCCCTCAACTGACAAAACTTAACATTAGTCAGCTGACAAAGAAAAAAGATATAAAGGGCCTATTCCTAATTTTGCAGGTTAGGCAAGGAAGGGCAAATAGGGAGCCAAGAGGCAATAAATTCCAAATTGGAATACTGTCTTTCAGGGATTACTATCTGTCATTACCTCATGTTCTGTATCTTGCAGACTGTTGTTTTGTGTATTTTGTCCACTGTTTGGTTGCTTTAGGCAGGTGAGTAAATCTGGTCATTGCTATCCCATCTTCACTAGAGGCAGAAGTACCCCCTGTACTACTTTTTTAAATAGTAATTTCGGCATACCATCTGTTTCCTTCTAGAACCCCGATGGATGCATATGTATTTCTCCTATATTTGTATATGTAGTAGCTAGGTTGAATGGTTTGTTTAGACTCAGGTTAAACATTTTTTTTTTTTGCAAGATTCATTTACAGGTCATGTTGTGTATCTCATATTGCCTCATATGAGGTTGTTTCACTTCTAGGCATGCTAACTTTGATCACCTGGTTAAAATGATGATCATCAGATCTTACTGTAATAAAGGGACTTTCTCCTTTACAGTTAGCAAGGAATAATACAGTGGGGTGACGCTTTGGCACCTTTTGACTGTCGTGTTGCAGAAACATTTTCACCTGATATTTTTTAGCGTGCACTAATGATCCTTGCCTGAATCAACTCTTTATTAGGGTTTGGAAAACAGTAAATTTCCAACTGTTTCATTCCTCCCACAATTACTGGCTGGCATTCTTCTGTAAAAGAGAGCTTTCCATCATCAGCTCGGGATGAAATGTTGATTCTTCTTAAAAAGATACCGTAAATGCTTATTTCTCCTCATTAATTACTAATTTTTAGGGAAATGAGTTAGTTTAATAGTTACCTACAATGATGAATGAGTTCTCTCTCCCTCCTTTTAGTGTTACTATGGCATGCATTTGATGTATCCAATATTTATAGTAAGCTATAGTTATACTTTAAGAAAATTCTTGTATCTTTCCAAATTTGGCCATGGATATGCCTCCAGTGGTGTCTGATCCTTTGCATGTGTCCCCTCAACCCTTTCGCATTAGTCTTTTGTAGCATCTTTGCTTTCTGGAATTATATACCTGTCTTGTTCATTCCTTGACCTACGCCTGGAATCACTGTTTCTTCAAGGAGTCTTGCGGAAAAGTTTTTGGAAAAGGATCTGAGTGCTAGGTGAATGTGTTAGAATTCTCCAGGGAAACAGAACCAGTAGGATATGTGTGTATGTGTGTGTGTGTGTGTGTGTGCGTGTGTGTGTGTGTGTGTATGTGTGTGTTCATTATGGGAATTGGTTTATATAATTGTGGAGGCAGAGAAGTCTCATGATCTGCCTTTGCAAACTGGAGAACCAGGAAATGAAATAGGAAATTTACTACTAGGAAGACATGCTCTAAAGAGAAGGCAAAGGTGTGGCTGGCTGAACAACATTTTGTTGAAGAGATTATATGTGTATATCTCATAGATTCAATCAGCCATCTGAGCAGAAGCCAGGAGTAGAAATGTGATTATCCAAGAAGGATCAGTGAAAAACTCTCTTATTTATTGGTAGAAATCTCTATGGCATACATAGGAGATCCACAAGATTTTTGAGAATGTTATGTAGTAGGAACATTGCCAGCTTCGATGGAAAGGGACAGAGGCTGGGCTAAATGAAAGAAAGCTGTTGGATTTCCAACATTCTACAAGCAGGAAATGAGCTGATACAGCCACTCAGCTGCAAACATGCTACTTTCAAGGAAAAGAAAGAATGACTCCAAGGATAGAGCCTTGGGCTTAGAGGGTGAAGCCACAGGCACAGGAGCAGAGGCCAGAGGAGCCATGCGTGCTGACGCCTGTAGAGCCATGAGCCACAGAAGGTTACTTTGTGGTCTTGAAAACTAATGAAACTTGTCCTTTGGGTTTCAGATTTGCTTGGGACCAATGACCCTTTTATTCTCTTCACTTTCTCCTTTTACAATGAGAATAAAAAGTGTTATCTCATGCCTGTCTCACCATTGTGTTTTGGAAAGAGATAACTTATTTTCTCATTTCACAGACCCACAGATGGGGAAGAATTTTTCCCCAGGATGGTTCCTATGCAGAGTCTCACTCAGACCTGACTTAGATACCAAGATTTGAAACTTTTGAGCTGATGAGATTTTGGACTCAGAGTTGATGCTGCTGTTGTTGAGACTTTTTTGAGGATGTTGGGATGGGGAAATGTACTTTGCAGGCAGGACAGATGTAAATTTTTGGAAGTCTGAGGATAGACTATAGTGGGTTGAATAAGCCCTCCTCAAAAGATATATTTATGTCCTAATCCCCCATACCTGTGAATGTTACCTTATTTGGAAATGAGGTCTTTGCAGATGTTCTTAAATTGAGGATCTTGAGATGATAGATTATCCTAGATTATCCAAATAGGCCCTAAATTCAGTAACAAGTGTCCTTATAAGAGTCACACAGATGACAGACAGAGAAGAGGAGAAGGCAGTGTGACCATGGTGGCAGAGATTAGAGTGATTTGGCCACAAACCATGGAGTGCTTGGAGCCACCAGTAGCTGAAAAGGAAAAAGGAACAGATTGTCCTTTTTTTTTTTTTCTTTTTTTTTTTTTTTAGGGGGGGTTTGCTCTTGTTACCCAGGATGGAGTGCAATGGCGCGATCTCGGCGCACCGCAACCTCCGCCTCCTGGGTTCAGGCAATTCTCCTGCCTCAGCCTCCTGAGTAGCTGGGATTACAGGCACGCGCCACCATGCCCAGCTAATGTTTTGTATTTTTAGTAGAGACGGGGTTTCACCATGTTGACCAGGATGGTCTCGATTTCTTGACCTCATGATCCACCCGCCTCGGCCTCCCAAAGTGCTGGGATTACAGGCGTGAGCCACCGCGCCAAGCCTCAGATTGTCCTTCTGTTTGAGCTTCTGGAGGGCGTGCAGCCCTGCTGACACTTTGATTTTAGACTTTGTATTTATTTATTTATTTTTGAGATGGGTTCTCCCTCTGTCACCCAGGCTGCAGTGAAGTGATGTGAACATGGCTTACTAAAACCTCAACCTCCTGGGTTCAAGCAGTCCTCTTGCCTCAGCCCTTCTGAGTAGCTGGGACCACAGGCATGTGCCACCACACTTAGCTAATTTTGTTTTGGGTAGAAATGAGGTCTCACTATGTTGCTGAGGCTGGCCTCAAATTCTTGGAGCAAGGAATCTTCCTGCCTCATCCTCCCAAAGTGCTGGGATTACAGGTATCAACCACCATGCTCAGCTCCTTGATTTTAGGCTTTTGGCCTTGAAAACTGAAAGAAAATAAATTTCCATTGTTTTAAGTCACCCAATGTGTGGTGATTTGTTACAGCAGCAACAGGTTTCAATTGTGTATGATGTTATTTATATAAAATGTTACAAAGCCAGTTACAAAGGTATCAATATTGTATGATGTTATTTGTTTAAAATGTCCAGAATAGCCAAATCTATAGAGACAGAAAGTAGGTAAATGGGGTAGAGAATGGGAGTGATTGCTGATCAGTAAGAGATTTTCTTTTGGGGTGATAGAAAGAGATTTTGTTATAGTGGTGATTGTTGCACAATTCTGTGACTATCAGTAAGTTTTGTTCTTTATTATTTACTTTTTTAGAGATGGGATCTTGCTGTGTTGCCCAGGCTTATCTTGAACTCTTGGCCTCAAGTGATTCTCCTGCCTCAGCCTCCTGAGTAGCTGGCTTACAGGTGCAATCCACCACACCTGGTTCTGAATTTTGTACTTTGTCTTTTGACAAAACCAGGTGGGTTGTGGAATGAATTTTGTGCTTTAAAAGGTTAATTTTTTGGTATGTGAATCATATTTTAATAAAGCTATATAAAATATTTTGGACAAGTATGGTGGTTTACACCTGTAATCTCAGTACTTTGGAAGGCTGAGGTGAGATTGCTTAAGGCCAGGAGTTCAAGACAAGCCTGGGCAACATGGTGAGACCCTATCTCTACAAAAAATATAAAAAATTAGTCTGGCATGGTGGGGCGCACCTGTGGTCCCAGCTGCTTGAGAGGCTGAGGTGGGAGAGGATCACTTGAGCCTGGGAGGTCGAGGCTGCAGTGAGCTGTGATTGTGTCACTGCACTCCAGCCTGGGTGACAGGGTAAAACCCTGTCTCAAAAAAAATATTAATCTGGTTTTCTTAACTTATTAATTTTACACTTATATGTTTTTAAATTGGAAACTAAAAAAATAAGATTAACAAATTTATTTGCTTGATCCTAGTAGACATATAAAAGGGGTAGAAAATTACAATGTCAATATTATTGCATCATTACAGCAATAAAATATGAGGTGAAGTTTTGATAATTTTTTTTCTTTTTTTTTTTTTTTTTTGAGACAGAGTTTCGCTCTTGTTACCCAGGCTGGAGTGCAATGGCACGATCTCAGCTCACCGCAACCTCTGCCTCCCGGGTTCAGGCAATTCTCCTGCCTCAGCCTCCTGAGTAGCTGGGATTACAGGCATGCGCCACCATGCCCAGCTAATTTTTTGTATTTTTAGTAGAGACGGGGTTTCACCATGTTGACCAGGATGGTCTCGATCTCTTGACCTCGTGATCCACCCGCCTTGGCCTCCCAAAGTGCTGGGATTACAGGCTTGAGCCACTGCGCCCGGCCTAGTTTTGATAATTTTTTAAGTAGTTCTTTATTTTTAGACTACATTCCACCAAAGAAGGTACTGTCCAAATAGGTGTCTAAAAATCCCTTGAAATACATGTTTGCTTTGTGTCAGTATGTTGCTCATCGGATATAGAATTAAGTTTTCTTTTTCCCAATCTTGGGATTTCTTTTCCTTTTTGATGTAATTTTATCTATTTCATGAACATCAAAACTAAAAAGGCATATTCAGAGAAGTCTTACTTCCATCTCTATCCTTCTCCTTGTTCCCCATTTTCTAACCCACATATAGCTAACTCTATTAGTATTCATTTCTGATTTATCTTTCTACAGTTTCTGGAAAAATAAGCAAAATTAAAAACACACATATATAGTATGTGTATATATATTATGTATATATAGTCTTATTTTACTTCTTTTTTTCCTTCCTCCCTCTCTTCTCTTTTCTTTCTTCCTTCATTTAAAAAAATTATGTTGAAGGCCGGGCGCGGTGGCTCAAGCCTGTAATCCCAGCACTTTGGGAGGCCAAGGCGGGTGGATCACGAGGTCAAGAGATCGAGACCATCCTGGTCAACATGGTGAAACCCCGTCTCTACTAAAAATACAAAAAATTAGCTGGGCATGGTGGTGCATGCCTGTAATCCCAGCTACTCAGGAGGCTGAGGCAGGAGAATTGCCTGAACCCAGGAAGCGGAGGTTGCGGTGAGCCGAGATCGCACCATTGCACTCCAGCCTGGGTAACAAGAGCGAGACTCCGTCTCAAAAAAAAAAAAAAAAAATTATGTTGAGTTCCCATGTCATTCAGGCTGGTCCTGAACTCCAGGGCTTAAGTGATCCTCCTGACTCAGCCTCCCAAAGTACTGGGTTTACAGGTATCAGCCATTGTGCCCAGCCTGTCTCTTTTCTTATATAAAAGATGGCATTTTATGTATACTGTTGGTATGGTTTGGCTGTGTCCCCATGCAAATCTCATCTTGAGTTGTAGTTCCACAATCCCCATGTGGGACCTGGTGGGAGGTAATTAAATCATGCAGGCAGTTTCCCCCATCCTATTCTCATGCCAGTGAGTTGGTTCTCATGAAATCTCATGGTTTTATAAGGGTCTTCCTTCTTCGCTGGGCACTCATTCTTTCCCTTCCTGCCGTCGTGTGAACAAGGACGTGTTTGCTTCCCCTTCTGCTATGATTGTAAGTTTCCTGAGGTCTCCACAGCTGTGGAGTCATTCAAACCTTTTTTCTTTATAAATTACCCAGTCTCAGTTATGTCTTTATTAGCAGCATCAGAACAGATTAATACAACTGTGGTGCATTTATTTTCTGCTTAATATATGCTGGACACTACCCTTATCAATACATAAAAATCTTACTTATTTTTTCCATAACTGCTTATACTTCATTGTGAGGGTAGTTTATTCAGTTTTTTATTGGTGAACATTTGGGTTGTTTCTAGTCTTTTGCTGTCACAAACAACTCTGCAATTACTATCCCTGTGAATGTTTCGTTTAGTATTTATGTAGATTCAGGATAGATTCCTAGAAGTGAGATTGCTGGGTCTAACGGCAAATGCTTCTTTAATTTATTCCTGTCAGCAATGTATGAGAGAGCTAGTTTTTCCCCAGCCTTATCAGCCAAATGAATTGTCAAGCTTTGGGTTTTTGCCAGCCTGACGTGTAAGAAATTGTATCTCACTGCATATTGAATTTGCATTTCTCTTATGAATTGAGGTTAAGTGTCTTTTCCACAAGTTGATAAGAAAATGACCTGTGTTTTTCCGAGATATCTTTATATTTTGTTTTTTAGAGATGGCATCTCACAATGTCACCTGGGCTGGTCTTGAGCTCCTGGCTTCAAGTGATCTTCTTGCCTCAGCCTCCTGAGTAGCTGGGACTACAGGCTGTTTATGTTTCTAGAAACTTTTTCTGTAGGTATCTTTGTCTTCTTTTTTTCCTGAAATTCTTTTTTTTTTTTTTGAGACAGAGTCTCGTTCCGTTGCCGGGAGCCAGGTTGGAATGCAACGGCGAGACCTTGGCTCACTGCAACCTCCGCCTCCCAGGTTCAAGTAATTCTCCTGCTTCAGCCTCCCGAATAGTTGGGACTACAGGCACATGCCACCACTCCCAGCTAATTTTTGTATTTTTAGTAGAGACAGGGTTTCACCATGTTGGCCAGGATGGTCTCGATCTCTTGACCTCGTGATCCACCCACCTCGGCCTCCCAAAGTGCTGGGATTACAGGCGTGAGCCACCGTGCCTGGCCTTTTTCCTGAAATTCTAAGAGCTTTTAAATATTCATTCTTTGTGATGTAGGTTGTAAATATTTCCTTGTAGATTATCATTTATCTTTTAACCTTTCCTTACTGTTTTTGAAATGGCAAAAATAATATAATAAAAATTAAAGAAAAAGTCCTATTATTCCATGGCCTCAACATAGCTATTTTGATTTTGCAAATCCCCTCCTAGATATACCTAGATTTATGTTTAGGTCTAATTAATTCTAATTACTGGTCACATCTTTTGGATTCTGCTTTTGTTACTTAAGATTAAGAGATAATCCACTTGGATGGGTCTCATTCCAACGGATTAATTTGTTGACACATGGCAATTACTTAAAATCAGTGTGCTCAGGTGTCTGGAGTCCTGATTCACTTCTGCACTTCTCAAGGTCACTGGAAATTGCAGGAGGGAGTCAAATCCTCCCCAGCACTTGGAAGGCTGAGTCAGTTCTGTGGCCAACAACAACGGGATGCCAGACTGCCATTTGGAGTTTTAGGACTAGTTAATTCCAAGGCTTTTATGTCTGTCCGCAGTCACCACCCACAAGTGCCAGCAATCAGAAGACTTGGTCCATCCTCCCGTTTCCTCATTTTAATACGGTTGCTGCTTCCAACATGTACATAGTGATCTATCTCTCTCTGTGACTGCTCTCTTCCTCCTCCCCTCTCTGAGTCTTGGCCTTTTATAAAGAACATCACATTTATAGTTGTTAATGGTATGTAGATAATTTATTAAGTGTTTAAATGTACATGATATAATTTTTCTACTGGTAGTAGAGGAGGTTAGTGTTTCTGTAGGTACCCTGACTCCCTACAACCTTGCTTTCTATATATATATATATATATATATTTGAAATGGAGTTTCAATATACATGTATATATATATATATATTTGAAATGGAGTTTTGCTCTTGTTGCCTAAGCTGGAGTGTGATGGCGGAATCTCAGCTCACCACAGCCTCTGCTTCCCGATTCTCCTGCCTCAGCCTCTCGAGGAGCTGGTATTTTCAGGTGTGCACCACCAAGCCTGGCTAATGTTTTGGATTTTTAGTAGAAACGGGGTTTCATCATGTTAGCTAGGCTGGTCTTGAACTCCTGACCTCAGGTGATCTGCCTGTCTCAGCCTCCCAAAGTGCTGGGATTACAAGCCTGAGACATTGCGCCCGGTGCTTTCAATATTTTTCTCTGATAAGAGAAGGTGACAAGATTCAGAATTCTCAATAAATAAAAACCCCAATTGTATGATTTTTTTTTAAAGCTTAAAAGCTCTTTTTGATGTATTATAAACACCTTGGGTATCTAAATAATCTGTAGAAAATACATTGAGCTTGTTTTTATCTCTTATTTTTAGAATGACAGTTACAGAAGGATTCTAACCTTATTTCAATTTGAGTGCATTTCTCATTGTCCCTTTTTTCTTCATGTTAAATAGGAGAATATATACATATATTTTGGGGGGGTTGTTTTTTTTTTTTTTTTTTTTTTTTTTT